GTTTCCATGCCATCGCGAGGACGCGCGTCGACCCTGCTCGCGCACAGCACGTGCTCCTCACGATCATCAAGGTTTCTGTAACGATTTGCGACCTTGCTACAGCGCGTTCTCTCATAGAATTCACCGGTTTATATCGTTTAACCTTTCCCTTTTATCTAGCTGTGTATTACTCACTTTTCGTAATTGTTTGTCCCTTGTTGCTCATCGTACGCGTCTAAATCCTTAATTAACGCGATGACGGTACGCATTAATGGATAATGTAAATGTCTTTCAATCGAACGTTTGTAAATTTTCATGATTCACACGTCACAGGTGATTCGCATTCTTCCTAATGCACAGATAAACTTACTTCCGCCCCCATAATTCTCCGATACCACGCTCGGTATCGCTTTTTGCGCGAGAATTGCTTAAAAGCTAGAGCACGTTCGCGTCTTTCACGTCGTCGCGGTGCCGGGTCGAGCGATTATACGCGCGCTCGTTAATGGTACCGCGACGGGATCCAAAGCATGACAATTGTTCTAACGACTTTAATTATAACGGAAAAGGAAACGAGTGAGAGAGAGAGAGAGAGAGAAATACGAGAAAGGAAAAAACGCGTACGCGTGGCGCACGGCTTGACAAGCGGGACAGCAAGTGGTGGGGTGGTATACGGGTGGTGGATAGAGCATAAACGCGCTCGAAGAACTCCGAGCACAGTTCTAATTAGCTATGTAATTTTAGTCTTAAGAATCCATCCGACAAGGAGCACCAGCGGAGACAGAGGAAATAACGATAACGAAATATACGTGTGTAGATTACATTCGTCGTGTTGTTCCACTAGGCGGTGGTGGAGGTGGCGGCAGCAGTAGCAGCGGTGCGCTACGACAGCACAAAAAACAGCGCAGAAAATCGCGAAGCGGAAGCAGTTCGCCGAGTGGCAGTAGCCGTTCCGGTAGCAGCAGCAGCAGTCGGAGCGGTAGTTCCGCCGGCAGCACTTCCGGGGGCAGTACGTCACCCGGTAGTTCGCCGCATCGCACAGGAAATGCCGCCGTCACCGAGGACCGCAGGCCGCTCGCTATCTGCGTGCGTAATTTACCGGCACGCAGTAGCGACACCTCCCTCAAGGACGGCCTCTTTCACGAGTACAAGAAGCATGGAAAAGTGACATGGGTGAAGGTCGTGGGGGCGGCCGGCGATCGGTACGCCTTGGTCTGCTTCAAGAAGCCCGAAGATGTGGAAAAGGCGCTCGAAGTGTCGCACGACAAACTGTTTTTCGGATGCAAGATCGAGGTCGCTCCTTATCAGGGTTACGATGTCGAAGACAACGAGTTCAGGCCGTACGAGGCGGAGCTCGACGAGTACCATCCGAAGGCGACCCGGACACTCTTCATCGGCAATCTCGAGAAGGACGTCACCGCGTCCGAGCTTAGGAAGCATTTCGAGCCTTTCGGCGAGATAATAGTAAGTTCGCCTTTCTTTCCTTTCCTTTCCTTTACTTTCTCTTTTGTTTTTCTTTTTTTCTTTTTCTTCTTTTTTTGCGATAAGAAACGTTGTCGTTGGAAAGGTTTCTCTTTGAGTAGAGTCCGGTTGCTTCATGCACCGATCCACGCTACCTACCCTTGGATCGTCGTATTGGAGGACACATGGTTGTGTTTTAAATTGTACGGTACTTACCCGCGTAGAAAACAGAAGAATTTTATCGACTGACATAGAAAAAAGGGGCGATGTTAAGTTTGGGAAGAGTTACACTTTGGAGTAGGAATAAATTATAGTGTAAAGTTCCTTTCTATAGATAGAACGGGTAGAGGACGTTCTTGCATTTACCGATCGAGGATCGAGGAATTTTCGATTCACAAAATATAAAGAATAATTCACGGATCGTTTTTATGTCACTGGGGATATAATGGTTTTTAAAAAGGTGACGAATATTGTCGGAAAAGTAAAACGAAAATTGTATCGTCTGTTACAAACCGCTCGATTCGTTGTCAGAATTTATGATAATACGAATGGTACATTATTCAATTCGCTGAATCTATTTGAGCAAAGTAATTTTTTATGAACTTCTACTTCCAACGAATGTTAAAGATTATTTTACATATTCTAGATCATTCTGTGGTTTGTAAATTTAGTTGTATTGTTAATTGTAGAGTTACGATTAAACTGTTGTAATTACAACAAATTTGAAGATCTGCAAAATTTAAAAACGTTGCAAGTCATTGGTATGTAAATGTGTTAAAATTTGCACGAAATTAAATAACTTCAAAGTACAACAAATAAAATCATATTTTGACAGAGATTCTCTAACTAGTTTTATTTGACAGCAATAATCAAGGAGTTCCGTGAGTGGGCTTTTGTACGCGTGAAAGAAAACTGTATAAAAAAATTTTGCAGTCACATTCGGCCAAGCCTTAAAATTCTAATCCTTATGTTAATACTGTCGCGAATTAACGTGTTTCTTCCATTTGATATTGAAATTTCAAGTAGTAACGTCCATTCCAAACGAACATGTATCCATTTACGACACTCGTCATAAATAACTAATTCGGCTCTCTTTTATGGATAATTAAAGCCTTAATGACATATGTCATTGAAAATAATTGAACAATTATCATTTCAGATGACCTTACCGCTTGTTAAAATTCTCCCTAATTTAATAATTCCAATATTCTATACAAATCTTACCGTTTAGTATATTTCGTTTCTTTTCCAAACTTACGTGTAATTCTAGAATTGGATGATTTAGCATTCTTATTTAAAAATATACTTTACGATATTTGATTTACTTCTGAAACTTCGTTTACACTTTGAACAGCTTGGAAGTATAATTGAACTGTTATTTGGAACGTACATGTAAATTTGCGCATTCTTTTATTTAAAAGTAAAACAGTTTTCGATAAATAATGGAATACTGGTATTTAAGGAGTAGCGCATCAATTCTAGAAGTTTTAAAGCGTTGGTGAACGAAATAATTGTCTAGTTTAGGTGATATCATCAGCGACGTTAGCGGCAAAAGGAAAATATCATTTTCGATTGTTGCAGGAAATAGATATTAAGAAGCAAGGCGCGGTGTCAAGTTATGCCTTTTGCCAATACTCCGACATTGGTAGCGTCGTCAAAGCTATGCGATCGATGGACGGCGAACATCTGGGCGCGAATCGAATAAAACTCGGATTTGGAAAATCCATGCCCACGTCCTGTGTATGGGTTGACGGCATTGGAGGTAATTATTGCAAAGAGCTGCACTGATTTCTCTTGAATAACTACTGCAGTTCAAACATTAGAAATAATTGAATTGGTCGAGGAGTGTAGGTCTTGTGATTGACAAAAATATATTAACAGAAAATTGGCTTTATATACAAGGTATTTGAAAATGATGAGTATGGAAGTTTCATTTGAAATAAGTATGTATAAAGGATATTATAATTATTAACCCCTTCACTTATGATTTTTTTTCTGACTATACATCCAAGCTTCAGCTGTTCAACTTTTTAGTACTATATCGGGTAACAAAAACTAATCTATTACGGATTGATAACTAAACAATTAGTAACCATTTAGAAAATTAGGATTAAAATTATTTTTTCATTACTGATATAACTATTTTTGCCACATCTTGACCAAAATCTCTGGCCGCGTGTCTGACTTGTTGTCATAAGTCAAGGGGTGAAATTTCCGTAAATTAATATCTTCAAATTCAACTTTCATGTATTGTTCCAATTATTATATCAATTACTGTCGGAATTGAAATCCTAAGTGAACGTATCTTGATCATATCTACTGGGTACTATTGAAATGAACATATCGTACTCGAAATTCTTTACCTGCAAGTGTCAGTATAATTACTTGTTGTTGACTTAACATCGAAATCGGTTACTATCCGCCGAATCAATAGGGTTTCTATTTTAAACACTTGTAAGTGAAGTTGGTGTAACCCGAAAATTCAAAAAAATTTGAAACTTTTGCAGAAATGTAATTACGTAACCATTCTTTGTTTTAAAAAAATTGCGAGTTTTCATGTTATCGCGAATATTTACGAAATCGTACAAGATATGGAAAAGAATATTTAATTCAAAGTTGTGTAATTTACGTGTCTCACATTGTGGCGTTGAAGAATTTTGAAAAAACATTATTTTTCAAAAGATTAAGAGTGATAGGAGTAAATTATGAAAAAAATTACGTTTTTCGAAAATTCTTTACCACCACAATGTAGGACATTAAGAACCACTCAACTCTGAATTTAACTATTTTCCATATCTTTTTAAGAAAAACGTATGACACGGTTTTATAAATATTTACGATAATATGAAAACTCACAATTTTTCTGGAGGGGTGTTTCCACCCCTAGAGCCGTTTCATTGACGAAACAAGAGATGGTTTCGTTATTAGCGTCAACTGAACTACATTTCTGCAAAATTTCAATTTTTAAAAAAAATTTTATTATATTATCTTCACCGCAATATCTGACACACTCCGGTCATTATTTACAAACACGCCTCGTTGATGTGTACTTCGATTGACTGAATTAAACCACAGGAAAATAATCGATTAACAACTTCTCTGAATTACCAACGAGAGAGAAACAGCCATCAGGAGTAGATTCGACTGAAAATGTACACTAATTGTCGCTTAATGAAATTACAACGTCCGAAACGTTCTTTCAGATTGTTTGCCGGAAAAGTACCTGAACATGCAGTTCCATCAGTTTGGACCGATAAATCAGGTGGTTGTGGATCGCGAGCGGGGACACGCTTTGGTCTTCTTCGAGCAGATCAGCTGCGCGCAAGCCGCCGTGAAGGAGATGAGGGGAGCGGCTCTTCGTGGACGTCGGCTTCAGGTCGACTTTGCTTCCAGAGAGTGCCAGGAAACGTTTTACGAGCACCTTGAACGGCAGGGCATCGCCGGGGAGAGACCTTGGGACACAAGACCCTCTCCGGCGACGACCTTCGATGTCTCGTATGTATAATTTTCAGTGAAATGCGGATTCTCACGTGGAATAATTACTATTTAACACAATCGTGTGATTATTCGAATTGTTAGGCCGTCCAATAAATTCGTGTCACATCGATATTTCCAACAAACTTTTAAATTTGATAAGAAAAAAAACGTAAGCGCCTTCTCGCTCCACAATTTTTTCTAATTCTTTTGGTAAGACCACTGTGTTGTAGAATTTCCTTGGATTTTCATTCAAGTATATTTCGCTTCCGTTACGAACTTTTTGGATGACCTAATATTTCCTTGAGATTGATGTGCAGGTTGTTTCTGTATTTAGGTCATTTTGAGAATGTTTCCTGTTTTGGAGAAATCAAATTGAGACTGGTAGAAATTATTGTTAATTAAGGGTTGAAACAGTTGTCATTACGAACAAAGCAATTTAAACGTATTTTCGTTTAAGACTAACTTGAACCTTTTAGAAGCAAGATAATTGTTGGTCGTATTATTGCAATGTGTTATTGTAACATTTTGTGTTGCTGATCGAAATAAACAGTACAGCCTGTACAGAAACGTGTTTTGTCACATAAATATCGAATTATAATGCAGAAAACATTTTGCGAGGTATTCGTCGAACTTTTCCGGAATGTTCAGCAGATGGTTTGCGGCAAGGACGTCATACACGCTGTGGATTAACTTCTCTGTTATCGAGTTGTAACAATAATAAGATATTGCACGTATTTGGAATGAAATGACAATTTGCATCTGTTTTACCATATTCCTCACGTCTTGTAACGTAGAATAACATTTTAAGTAAGACTGTTTTCGAGATTGTACGAAACTGTGCCAAAGAATATATGTCAATCAGTAAGATATATTGAGTATGTAAAAGTAACATTTCGCGTTGTCTTAATTTTTCTTTTAAACGAAATGTCATGTTTTTTGATATTATCTTGTAACAAATATAGAATAATTTAACGATTCAACTGGTAACATTATGGTACCGTTGAATCATTTGTATGTTCTCTCAACAAATCTGAACTGCCCCCGTAAAATACACGCTTTCATGTTTAATAGAGTGCCAATGATCCAATAACACGTACCCAAATAGTTCAGATTTATCGGTGTGGTAGACGATACTTTTTAGTTACACGATACAAATCAAAACAGAATTCCTTTCACAGACGTCAATTGCAATATCATTCAAATATACTTTTACACTTCTTAAAAATGATATATTATCTCCAAATTTCCTACGAACCTCGGTTAGCTAAATAACCAAATTGGTATCGAAAATAGTTGGTTAGAAAACATACAAGCTGCTGCTAAACATTGCGGAAAAGGAATAGCTCTGCAGAGCAGCTGTTAGCCACAAACACCGTGTGTGATGCGGCAAAGAACAGAAAATATAGTACAACCGTTATTTGAAGGATTCCTTCCAGGCGAGAGCGCAGTAGTTTCGACTCCGGGGTGACGGTGTCAAACTCGAGTAGCCGGTTTACCCGGTACGAGACGCCCCCGAGGTCGAGAACAGCAAGTTACTCCCGCGCGTCTGGAGGCGGAAGCACGCCGGGTGCCAGTCCTGCTCACCCGACCGCGATGTCCCGCAGCAGTAGACGCTCCTACCAGGACAGCTACTACGACGGCGATTACACCGAGCCGGCGCCCCGGCGATTCCGCAGCTACGACGAGTTCAGCCAAGGAAGCGGGGCGAGCCACGACGACTACCAGAGCAGCGTGCTCGGCGACGGGAAGATGAACGACGACGATTGTCCACCACCGTCGCGTCGCCACGCGGTGCAAAGTGTCGTCACCAGTGTGGACCCACCGGCGCCTCCGCCTCCGTTGTTACCGCCTCCCGACATCAGGCACCTGCAGAAAGAGCGTGTTCATCTGCTGGAGCAGCTGGAGGAGTGTCACAGCAGCGGCGACGAGGTCGGATTCGCGCCAAAGAAACGGGCGAAACTCGACGGTGCCTCGGCTACCATACTCTGCGAGGACGACGAGCCAGAGATCGCCTCGTTGCTTGTCACGTCGCACTCCAGCAGAAAGGGCATGGACATTAGACGCGTCAGCGACAGCAAGGTGGTCGTGCATCACGGCACGAGGAGAGGTAGCTGCGAGGGAAGGGGACCGGGACCCTGTAAGCGCCGCCGTGATGTTACCAGCAGGTATATACCACTTTTCTCACCGTGTGAAGAGTATTTCACTGGTAGAGTTCCTTTTGGGAAATGAACGGTGGACGAGCTTGGCGATGTGAGAATGGTTTCCTCTTTGGATGTTTGAGTAATGATTTGACGATGTACAGTGAGAGCAACGTTTGGTTTAAAGAAGAAGCAAATTGTGTTTAGTACGTAACGTGGTTTTTAATATGTATAGCTCAAAGCTGTATCTACACTATGCAACAAATTGTTTTGTAACCTTATTGTACAACATGTTGTTATAACTTGTTCCAAGATTGTACCTTTTGGTATTGTAGCAAATCTGTAAGAAGTTTGTCTAACGTTTCGCATCTCGTTATTAATAACGGCGTCAAACGGTAGACGACAGATCTTTTATAACTTTCTTTCATCTTCACCGACACTTGATGAATATAACTTACTATGTAACATTGAAAATGTTATTTAAGATACTGCTGTGTAACATTTGTTTTTTGCTCCTTTTATAGCAAGTTTTATAACTTTCCTATATAACGTGTTATGTTATATAGCGTAGACACAGCTTAACCCTTAGCATACCAAGGTGGGATGATAGACATTCTTTAATAACAGGAGTCCTTAGAAGACCCCATAGTTCTTTTTTTATGTTTGTATCATAGTATTTTTGTTGTAACAATGTTCCTATTGAACCTGATGAGAATACTACCAAGAGTCGTGTGTTTTATTTGTTGAAAATGTTTATTTATTGCGTAAGTCTAAATCTGCACAACCATCTAAGACGTACTCGATAACAGTTTCTAAGACATTTATAAATCACTCACTCTCGTTTATTTAGGCACAGATACTCATCGTTCACACAGTGCGATGATTCTATTTCGATACAGTAAGAACTCATCAAACAGCAAAAAGAAGGGAACTGACATACGGGAACATAAGATACGAAGATCATGCAGAACTTCCTGGAGGTTTTTAATTTTTTTTGCAAAAATCATATTAGCTGATCTTTTTCTCTTTCTGTTCCTATTTATCGTAGTTAATAATGAAATACATCAAAAAATCGCTGGCAGCGTATTTCTAACAGTTATCGAATAACACTGAAAAACATGTATTGAGGTCCCTGAGTGACCCCACCTTGATATGCTAAGGGTTAAATATGGTCATTACTAGAATGAAAAGAGAATTATATGTTCGTAGGTGTAGAAAAAGGTTACAACTTTGTTTTGTATTAGAACGAAAAGATAAGAGAAATAAGTGGTGATAGTGGTGAATGTGTTTGGGGGAAACTGAAATCGTAACTTAAATGGAGGTTATCTTACAGGATGGTTCCCATTTAACAATTTGCTTTCACGACACAAGAACATTTCATTAAGAAAGTAGCACGCAAGAAATCCTTTCCAATGATTATTTTGCAATAGCTATATGTGTTTGAAACTTTGGGATCTCAATGTAACATTGTATCTCAAGATTCACTTCCTTTACAACTTCATAATGAATTTTCATTTGGCTGCTTAAGTCACAAACACTCTCAGTTAAATTTTCAGAAAGTTCCGTTGAGGATACCATTTGTATTATCAGTAATTATAAATATAGTTCAAACGCTTAACAGTGTCAGAGAAACAATAAGCGTATAGTTCAGTATCAAAACACTTTTGTCAAGTGTGTAAAGCAAAACCTACTGTAACAAGTACAAAAGTTATCCAAAGTGTTTTTTCAGAATTTTTCATTTAATACACTGTTGTTAAATACAAATCGGTGCTATAACGTGTGAAATTATTTCTGTTAAAGGCATCACGAACATCATGACGGATCGCGGCCAGGGACGCCCCTGGTGGACGAGAGGCCAGAAAACTTGGTGCCTAGCGAGCCGAGGCGGTTTCGCGAAAGAAGTCATGACGGTCCTCTGTCGTTGCCGTTGCCAAGGTTTGCTGCTCAGATGCTGAACAACAATAATAACAACAGCAACAACAACAGCAGCAGTAGTAGCAGTAACAACAACACCACTACCGGTAACAGCAATAACAGCAACAGCGGTGGTGGTCGATCGAACAATTCGAACCTTGCGAAAGTGACCAGTCCACCTTGTGGCAATCTATCGACGGCACCCAGTCCTCGCACAGCCCCTCAGCCGCCAGCGTCGCCGCCGCCTCGCCACCCTAGCCCGAGTCCAACGAGCTCAGACAGTGAGACGGCGCCCCAATCACCTAGTCTCGAAGAAAGGATACGCTCTCTGGACGAGAAGTACGAAAAATGGTCCGGATCCAGGGCGTTAAGCGCCGCCGGCGGTGACGCGCTGGCGAAACTCGACGCTACCGCAGACATAAACTGCTCGACTTGGACTTACACGAGGTGCAGCCGAGCGACATCGTGAAATCGGTCCTTGCCAAGAGGAGCGTGTTTGACGAGGACTCGAAACGTCTGGAGAACTTCAGCGAGAAATACGAACCTAGAGAGTTCACTGGTGTGATTGGTGTGAGTTCGATGATCGGCAACACGAGCAGCCTCGCGTCGAGCGGTGGCTGTACCAGCAAGGTTTGCTTGCAGTATCCATTTCCTAGTCATCCGCCGGTACAGCTGACTAGCAGCGGTTCTTTGACCAGTCAAATCGGCATCAGTACGACCCTGTCATCGAGTTTAACGTTCACGACGACCATGTCGTCCGCTTTGAAAACGACGGACCCACGGGTGACGGCGCAGCATAACTGTGTCCACCCAACACCCGCAACACCAATCACGCCCGGCACGTCGATCAAGACTGTTAGCCCCGAATTACCACCGGTTTCTCTACCGATCGGTCTTGGTAGCGGAACAGCTGCCAGTAATGGCAATAGTAGCGGTTTAGCGTCAGCTAGTAGTATTCTTAGCAGCAACGGTAGTATAAGTAGTATTCACGCTCTTGGAGCATCTACCACACGAGGATTGAGCAGCACCGGTGCCTCCGCAACCTCCTTGGTGTCAGCTCCGGCGACGACCACCGCATCGACACTCACATTCTCCACGTCTATGTCGACGCCGTCCGTTCCTACGACTGCAACGACTACGACAACATTGACCACAACAGCGAGCACGTCAGCACCAATCATAACCACGTCGAACACAATATCATCGTCATCGACGTCCACCTTGCCGAGTGGTCAATACCAAACTTCCATGCCCACCGCCTCCACGGTACTACCGTCTTCCACGACACCCTCGTCGAATTTTTCCTCCTCCTGCTCATCCTCCTCATCGTCATCATCTTCTTCCTCCACCTCCTCTTCTTCGTCTTCACTGTCGGACAGTGCACGATCTCGTCTGAGGAAAGAGGTCAGCAGTAGCAATCGAGAGAGCAGAGAGTACCGGGACAGTAAGGACAGTAGAGACTCGAAGTACAGTAGCAAAGGGAAAGATAGTCAGAGGAAATCGAGGAAGGAGGAGGTGGTGGACAGCGAGAGGAGTCGCAAGGACAGAGAGGAGAAAGACAGCTCGTCGTCCATAGTGAATGACGTCGCGGATAACGACGGTCATGCGAGAGAGTTCAAGGAGAACAAAGAGCTGCGTTACGAGAGGAAAGAGAGAGAAGAGAAGGATCGAAGGGACAAAGACGACCGTGAGAGGCAAGAACGAAGGGAGGAGGATCGCGACAGGCAAGAAAGGAAGGAACGCGAAGATAGACGAGAGAAGGACGAGGAGAGACGAGAACGGGAGAGGCTGGACAAGGAACGACAGGAGAAAGACAAGCGGGAAAGGGAGGAGAGAGAACGAGAGCGAGAGAAAGAGCGGGAACGTGAACGCGAACGTGAACGAGAACGAGAACGAGAACGTGAACGTGAGCGAGAACGTGGGAGAGGCTGGACAAGGAACGACAGGAGAAAGACAAGCGGGAAAGGGAGGAGAGAGAACGAGAACGAGAGAAAGAGCGGGAACGTGAACGCGAACGTGAACGAGAACGAGAACGAGAACGTGAACGAGAACGAGAACGTGAGCGAGAACGAGAACGTGAAAGAGAACGAAAAGAACGGGAGGAAAATGAAGCCAAGGAGAAAGAGAGGAAGGAGAAAGAACGGTTGGATCGCGAGAAAAGGGAAAGGGAGGAGAAAGAACGTCAGGAACGGCGGGAAAGGGAGGAACGAGAGAGGAGGGAGCGCGAGGACCGCGAGAGGAAAGAACGAGAGCTCCGTCAGGAGCGGGAGAAACAAGAAAAGGAGCGTCTTAGGAAAGAAAAGGAAGAGCAAGAGAGGCGTGAGAAAGAAGAACGGGATAGATTGGAACGAGAGAGGAGACGGGAAGAGAAAGAGCGACTCGAGAGGGAGAGAAAACGTGAGAGAGAAGAGAAGGAACGGCTTGAGAGAGAACGGAGAAAAGAGAAAGAGGAACGAGAACGAGCTGAGAAAGAGAAACGCGAGAAGGAAGAAAAAGAGAGGCTCGAACGAGAAAAGCACGATCGAGAAAAGAGAAGAGAACGTGAAGATCAAGAGAGGCGGGAGAAAGAAAAATCTGAACGCGATAAGAGGAGGGATCGCGATGAGAAGGACAAAGAAAAGAGGGGGGATCGCGAGGAGAGCAGGCGACAACCCACCGAGAATCATCTCCATCAATCTGTTTCACAGTCTCAGAATCAAATTTCCCCCGCCCCGGTATCTATCAAGCGGCGATGTTCGTCGCAAGACGGACCAAACGAGGACGAAGCCAAACGCATGAAAATTTCCGACCACAGAAGAGATAGCAAAGATCGGCCTAGACAGAACCGAAGATCCGAAGACCGCAAGCATCGCAACGATTCCCATCGGTCGAGTCGCGAGAGCAGGGAGAGCCGTGACAGCAAGGAAAGTAGTGGTTCCACGCAAACCCAGGACAGCAGGGAACAAGCTCACAGTGAGATGAACAGGGAATCAACCAGGGAGAATAGGGAATCAATCAGAGAGAACAGGGAGAACAGAGAGAACAGAGAGAACAGGGAAAACAGAGAAAATAGGGAGAACAGAGAAAACAGGGAAAACAGAGAGAACAACCGTGAGAGTGGGAAAGAGAAGCAGCGAAGCAAGAGGACTCGTTCCGAAAAAGAATCCAGAGAACGAAGCCCAAGGGTTTCCCACGAATCTGACAAAGAGTTCCTATCGAGACTTGACCTCACAAAACGTAATGATTCGAATTCACCGAGCGACTCGACAACGGCCAATGCTAATCATTCGCGTGAGATGCAACAACACCATCAGCAACAGTCTTCGTTGAACTTGCACAGTGACGTAGACGACGGCCCGTTATCCACCCACGACATTCAAGTGGCCAGACATCCGTCAGCTACCGACACGGATAGCGACGAACCTAAGAAGCACTCGATTTTCGACATCGTTGACGATGAACCCGCGTACATCAGTATGTACGACAAGGTGAAGGCGCGCTCGACGAAAAACATGCAGAAGCTCGAGGAAGAGAAGCGACAGGTGCGGCTAAAGGACAAATTCTCGCAGTTGAAACAAAGTCGAGCCAGGCGAGAAGAGAAGAAACAGAGCACTTCGTGGGATGGTGATTCGGTATCTAGCAAGGCTCTGACAGAGGACGAAGCAACGTCTGAGTCAGATTCAGCCAGAGCGAAGTCTCTGTCCAGAAAGAGCTCTAGGTCTCGAATTCACTCGGACACCAGTGAGGAGGAAGAGTCGTTTAACAATAAGATTCGAAAGGTCGTGAAGACCGAGAGGTTCCTGGAGAGCGACGTCGACCTTGGGTTCGCCGACACCGAGGAGAAGCACAATCCTCTGGAATCGTCGAACGTGGTCGTGAACAGCGTTCACGCGAATGTGAAGGAAGAACCACGCACTTCGGACGACGACGAACGAATATCTGTTCCCTTCCGTAGCAACCATCCGGCGATCGTGGTGAACAATCACGAGCGAGACTCGCGCAAAAAGTCGCATAAGAAGAAGCAGAAGCGGCAGAAGAACTCGATACAGAGCGAGGACAGTATAAAGACCGAATCCTCTGAGAACGCTGATCATAAGAACAAGTCGAACATCGTAGCCAGTACTGTAGACGGTCGACCGAATCATGCGTCGGAATCCATCAATGTGACTACGAACACCAACGTCACATCGGGGACAACGGCAACGTTGGAGAGCACAGAGGAAAGGATACGATCGGATAAGAAGCAACGAAATAAGAAAGACAAGCGGAGAGATAGGAACGGAGAGGACAAAACTAAGGCGAGGAGAAAGAGGCTGAATAGGCAGGAAACGAGAGACTCGCAACGAATGGAGGACATCTTTGGTCCACTGTCGGACGACGTTGACGACGGTCCGTCTAACAACACTTTCTTCAACCGTCTGGGCAACATTACGTCGGAAAATAACACCTACACTTTTGACAGCGACGGCGGACACAGTCCGGTGTTGGACGTAGAGCGAGTCAGAAGAAAAGCGGAGAAGAAGCGTCGTCATCAGCCCGAGGACGAGAACAGCGTAGACTTGGCGGAGGCGGGACGAGAAATTGAGGCGAAACTTTTAGGCTTACCGAACTCGCCAAAGTCTGGTGTGGCGTGCACGGAAAGCAACGATCACGACGTGTTTCGGTTCACAGACGACAACGACAGTGTGGAACCATCTACGCCGTCAACCATTCCGGAGAAGGTTAAAGAGAAGAAGAAGAAGAGGAAGAAGTCGAAAGAGGAACGCAGTCGGAAAGATTACCACCATCATCACCATCATCACCACCATCATCACGATTGCCGTATTTAGGTGCAGATCCTAGTCCTCCGAGAGCCAGCAGTCCACTAATCCCTAAAACTATGTCACCAACATTACCTACACCTAGAGATACTTTGTTAAGTCCCATTCCAAAGGTTGCGTCCAATGTATCGACGGTGGTGCCGTCGATGGCTCTTCCAGCCGTTAGTGGAGCTATTCAAGCTGCGAAGCCGGAAAAGAAGAAGGATAAATTTATTCCCGGTTTTGGAATTGAAATCGATGAAGCTATTCACGAAAACGCTGTAAAAAGTATATCAGAGCCGGAGGAACGCGAGAACAGCTGCCAGTCGCGAAGTGGCAGGGAGGAGCCGGAAGTAACTGCACCAACCACTCCGCCTGCACAAACCGAAGATAAACCACGTGTCGCAATTTCTCAAGAGGAGACTGAGGACGCCGTCGCTGCGTTGTTGGAAGAGACCTTCGGTGGATCCACCGAAGATTTCCCATACGAGGGCGAGGAGGAAGACGCGGAGGCGGAAGACGCAGTTGGAGCACCAGCTGAGGCGCCTCAGGAGGACGTTGAGGAGATGCAGCAAGCTGTGGAGAGTTTGAACGCCTCGACTGGAGAAGGAGAGACGGACATGAAACCAGATACTCCTCAGAGCGAGCACGATCTGCAGATAGACACGGACACGGAAGAGGACCCGAACTATGAATCGTTCGACCTGACACAGCCACCGAAAACGCCGGATATTCCATCGTTCTACAAATCTCCTACGAAGACCATCAACACCATCTCAGCGCCGCCTCTGGCCGGGGCAGAAAAGTCCATCGAAACGCGCATATCGTCCATACCAATGAAACCGCAGAGTCCACCAACGTCTGTGATCGCTCACTCTTGGAACCTGAACGAGAAGCCACGTGAAGTGGTTAAAACCGTGCAAACGGTAGAATCTGTCGAGACGAACGTTACTGCCACCAGTCCAGAGAGAATCACCCCTCAGGCGCATCGTATCTCCACTTCTCCACCGCCACAGTACAAGCAACCAGTTCTAGGTCCGTGCAGTGTGCCGATTACCAGCGAAATACCTAGAATCGCCGCAGCCAGTCCTAGACCACCGCCTATCAGCGTGCAATCCTTGTATCAAAAGCTACCTGTGTCGCCACAGTCACAAGCGGTACCGATGCGACAGACTTCCCCCAGAATGCAAAATATTTCCACGGTTTCTACATCGGCCTCTCCAAATCAGACTCCTCTGCCACCGTTAGTTCCATCCAGAATGCCACCTCTAGTGCCATCACAGTTGTCACCGAGAATCTTACAACCCCAATCACCTAATGGACAATGGTCTCGAAATTCTGCTCTCAGTCCACATCAGATACCAACAATCGGAAAACCATCTCCACCACCAGCCAGGATCGCGGTGAGCGTATCCGTGTCCGCGCATAGACCTGAAGCTCCGGCGCAACAGATTTACTCGACAGCGGCCACTCAACAACCAGTCATCCAACACGCTCCTGGAATGAGAGCTCTGGCGCCTAGTCATCCCAGAGGAGGCTTGCCACCGTTGACTTTAAATATTCCACACCGTCCTTACATGCCTGTACCACCGTTAGCACCTGGTGTGCAAGTGAAAAACTCGAGGGACTCTGGTTTAGGTGGTAAATCCGTGATCGAGACGTTGCTTCCGGTAAACCCAAACGAACCTCCGCAGCGTTTAGAAGAACCCAAGCTCTCGCCAGCTGTTATTCCTGAGCCCGCGAACAAAGCGTCCACATCTCCAAAAGTTCCTTCACCCAATCAACCGCCAACGTATATTCCTGAGACAGCGAAAATTGAGATCACCGCCAGTACGTCCAGTCCGGTATTTGGAAAGCCGAGCAACATCGCGGACACGTGCTCTTTGTCGTCTAGGAGTCAGAAACAAGTAGCAAGCTCCATCACGACGGATAATAATTTGCTGTCACCCAGGCAAAAACAAGAAATATCGAGTCTTCAACTTCTAACTACTCATGTACCACGTTCTTCCACGCCCAGTCCTGTAATAGTCGCCCATGGACAGCCTCACTTGGTCCACAAGTCTGTGGTGCACAGTATCGGAGCATCCACTATTTCACCGGCTAATCAACCGTTGATCAAGACAGTTGTACCGATAGTTCCACAACAGATCGCGACCACAGTGACAGTTTCCATGCCTGAGGAGAAGTGTGTTATCAGCCAGACGCCGTTGCCCCTGAGTAGCAGCCAACGACACTCACCAGTCTCGCAGAGTAGTCAATTACCGAAGCCTCATATTCCATTGGTATCCACTGTCCCGCAAGCCATTATTACCAGAGCCATGCCCTCTACAGTTCCCTCCGTATCATCACCGCCGATTAATGAACAGAACAATCCAGTCGAGTCGTTAGAGTCGCGTTTACCACCTGAACAAGAGTTGGAGTTAGACTCTGACGCACAGATAGCCCAAACTGCTCAGCCCATGCAACTCACGCCACCCGTACAGCCAACTCAACCGATAGATGTCATTAAAGACGAACCTCCAGATTGCGTTAAGCACGAAGACACCACGATTAAAGAGGAATTCCCGAGCAGTGAACCGGAACATCCGTTAAGTCAACCAGTTGCCAACGTCGTAGACACGAAACCACCGAAAATAGAGCAACCGAGTGTGGTCAAGTCAGAGACACTGCTGTGCGTACCGAAACCTGAACTTCCGGAGAGCAATTTACTTCCCAAGATAGAGGTCGAGTCACCGGTTAAATCGGAACCTGTAAACGAGCCAGTGAAGGAAGAGGAACCTGTGAAAGAGAACGAAGAGGTGGGCATAGAAGAGGAGCCAGCAGAGGAGCCAGCAGAGGATCCTTTGAAAGAACCAAGTACAGACCCGCTTGCCATCGACGTGTCTAAAGAGGATCCAGCTGACAGTAAAGAAGATAGCGACTACTGGTCAGCGAAGGAGGTAAACATCGAGAGTGTGATAAAAAAGGTAGATGCTCTGTGCGACGGCGAGGCCAACGACGGTGATGAAGAGACGCAACACGGTCAGAACGGTAGGAATGAGACGCAGGAACAACCTAAGAATAACGAGTCTGAATGGTTCAACGCAGAAACGACGGAGACGGAGAGTAAAAAGAACTTCAGGACAAACGACGAGCAGGATGAAGGTGTGGAGACGTGCGAGAGCGAGTCAACGAAAAGTCGTCGTGGTAGAATGAAGAATAGACGAGGAATCGGTAGTCGTGGCGGTGTTACGACCAGACGAAGCAGCAGAAACACGACCACTGTAGTGCATAAACGAGGTGGCAGGACTTCTAGAGGGAGCAAACATCATGTGGAAAGAAACAAGCTGCCGGCGGATGTTTATGAATTCCACGATGATAGCGAGGAGGATAACGCTGGACGGCCACGGTTGATTCTCACTATCAAGTCTCCGGTGCCGAATCTGACCGGTCCCAACGCACAACCAGCAACACCTATAGCTGCGGTGAAGGAAGTACCGCCGGAGGAATTTGTCTCTCCAGCCGCGAACACAAGGAAATCCAGAAGATTGGCCGAAAGGGATGGTAGTAGAAACACTATCGACGATATTATCGAAGACGTCGTACGCGGTTCTGCGGCAAACAAGGGTGTCGTTGGAGGATCAACGGGCAACATTCACGCCACCAGAAGAAGTACCAGGCATAACAACTCCCCTCGTAATGTACAGACGACCGTGCAGCTAACAGAGCCTAGAAAACCAAGACGAAAACTGGTACGAAGGTCTTCGGAGAATAATGACGATAGTAATGAGGAGAAGATCAAGGAAGCGCCATCGGCGGCACCACAGGAATTGCAGAACAAGGAAGAAAGCGCTCTACCTCAAGAAGAAGCTCCGAAGACAGAGGAAACAAGTCAGTTAACACCGTCACCGACGCAGAAACCAGTCTCTCATGAGCCAATGACACTGATAGATCCAGTAACTGGAATGTTGATACCAATGAGAGAGTCGGAAGAGGGTCAGTACATTCCCGTTTCCACATCATCCGGACAGATACAAACTGTAAACAGAGCCACGTGTGACACGCGTGCAACTCCAGCTGGAATAATCAACACGAGTCCTAATACAGCCGAAGTGTTACGTCCAAAACCAACTCAGCTTAAAAATCTAGCAATTCCTGAAGAATCCAAAAAGGAACAACCCGTAGAACCGGTTCAGAATCAACAGATTCAGCCCCAAACCAGCGTGATCACTAAACCACAGTCTCCAGTCATTCAAGTTACCTCCACAATCAGCATGGTTCAGTCAGTAACAACATCCACCACAGTTACTCCTATAGCCACGACCACAGTAACAACGCCACAGACTACGCCTACTTGCTCGACTCAATCGAAGCCCACAAGTCTCAAAGCCCATGTGTTAAACGCCAGCAAATTGGTCACGCCGGTACAACAGCCTGTAGTCATTACAAAACCACCAGCTCCCAGCATACCCAGCCAATCAGTAGTGCAAAGTATTATGAAACCGACACAACCGGTACAAGGTCTTCATCTACAAATACCCAGTAACAAAGTGGTGGCTCCAAGTTTGAGCCCACGTGCTAAGCAGGCGCCTCAGATCAGTGTCGCGAATGGAAAGGGCCAAGGACAACCTATGTCACCGGTTTTGAACAACACTGGTGTGCCACCGAATCCTAAACAACATCTTCTGCAGGCGGCCAAGCAACAGGCGTCTACGATAGTGAATCTACCTCAGAAGTTGCCTATGAACGTCCATCCAGCTAGCGTAACTACAACATTAACACCAAGAATTCATCAACCTGTTTCTCAGCCCACTGCACTGAAGGGTCAATCACATCCATTGAATCCAAAGACCCATTTGCTACAGGCAGTAGTACCACCAATGGTCACAGGTGCAGTAGCCAGTCCACCTACTCAGCCTCATTTGATGAATCCTCAGCCTGCTAACGTTGGCTGTTCAAGACCTCCAGCACCAAAACCAGCAGTAAGAGCACTTTTTTTTTTTAAATAACTGATATAGTGATGACAAATCTAAAAATGTGGATGAAATGATTTTTTGATCAAGAGTAATTTATAATATAATTAAGGTCTAAGATGAGTTCTTGATAACAAGAATAACTAACATAAGTGAGGCTTTGTGTTTAAGAAAATAGATTTGAAGGAAAATTGTGCATACAATCTAATCTTAGCTAATTTCTCTGTCATCTTGTTATTAATAGCAACTGTTTTTACACAGTTGACATTTTTCATTTCATACAGAAAGCATTTCAATTTTTACGTTTTATTTTTTGTGACTTACTCTTATGCAAGAACATATTCCATTTCTATTCATTATTTTTATTAGTACTGTATGTGTAATTACTTTTCAGAATGAAAAAGATTGTTTATGTGGTAGTTATTTTAAGAGAAAACCTATACTATCCTGTGCATCAATTTCTTGTAAAATCATCTCTTAAAAATATTTAAGTATCAATTTTAGTTTTTTGATGAAATTTTGTAGATTAACTTTATTCATCAACATAATTATAAGTACACCCGATAAATAAGTAGTTAACTATACATTTTATTTATTTCAAACGAATACAGTAAAATGAATATGTTTTAGTGAAACTTTTTAAGTAATATTCTTATATTATGAAAGTTTTAAAAGTTACATGTAATACTATATTTTCTTCTCAGAATTGAACAATTTCTATATAGCAATGTAATATTAAAAATTCTATCACTTCTTAAAAAAGAAAAGGAAAAAAATAGGGGAACTAATTTTTATGATGATAATAATTTTAGGTAACAGGAACGATGGAACCGCCAAAAGTGGAAGTATCTATGTCCGGCTGTATTATGGTTCCAACTGCGAGTCCTCAGGCACGTGGAGTACCAATATCAACATACGAAGGACCATTGGTAAGTATAATGATCATATGTAACATTCTAAATCATGACGCAAAAATGTTAAAATTACGTAATGATTATTTGTGATCAACGCTTGTTTTAAATTCGAATCGAATTAATCTATCCTTATTGCGGTAGAGTAGCAAGATTAATATATTGAATTGTGTGCACCTGTATTAAAACACACACACATTTATTTATTAAAAATATCTCGATACATTAACTAACTTCGCTTGGTTTTGACTAGCATGGGAGTGCGGGTGCTGCTCCATCACCAGGGGGCCAGTTTGGACTTGTCCCCCCACATAGATCCCAGAGTCCTCCATTGCCTCCACCTGCCCATCATCATGCTAATGCTTCTCAGGTACTTACTATGCTAACTTTATTTCAATTTTGTTAAGATGTGTCGATTTAAACATATAATAGAAACATATTTACCAATTTAAATTAAATTCTACTTTATAAATGAAACATACACTATTATATCAATACTGTTGCTCTGAAATTATTTCAATCATAACATTTTCCACATTTAGGGTGACGTTGTGAATCACTATGGAGGACTTACAAGAGGAGGAGAGCTACCACCTCATTACATGCACCCGCAAGTGTTACAGTATCAATATCTGCGTGCTCAGCAGGAGGCCTTAACAGCTCCACGTATAGCATACCACATCCAAGGATCTCCTCATTTGCCAATAGACCCTAAACTTGAAACGGGCATAGAAGATAGTCACAGTCCACCATTGGAGTTGAGACGAGGCACAAAAACGCCGCAAGATCGTACCACCGACAGTCCTCAAGTAGCTCAAGTCTACATGCTGCATGGTCCAGCGAGGTTACCACCACCACCGCCGCAATATAATGCAGGAAGTAATCCATCCTTAACTGGTGCACCAACAACCGCCAGAGGTGGTTTTTACGAACCTCCACCTGCGCATTTGCGTTCTCAATATCCTATTGCTGCCAGCGAAGCACCAAGTGACAGAGCTATTACACCGGATAGGCCTAGAAAACATCAAGTGGTCACGCCACCTCACGCTTCTCAAGTACCACCCCAAGCAGACTCATTTCAGATGTTGCTACAACGTTACCCAGTTATGTGGCAGGGATTATTGGCCCTTAAGAATGACCAGGCAGCAGTACAAATGCATTTCGTATTTGGTAACCCCAATGTGGCGAGAGACAGTCTACCTTGTAACAGTGATGGCTCCACTCCACCATTGAGAATAGCACAGAGAATGAGATTAGAACAAACCCAGGTTGAAGGTGTGGCAAGGAAGATGCAGGTACGTGCTAGAAAATTTTTATTTTACTTTGATTCTTAAATTGCACAATATAGGATGTATCTATTTCTTGTATAGTTGTCCAATATTGTGGTACAGTTGACAAAGCTGGTATCTTTGATTTGAAAATTAGACTAGAAAATGACTGTACAATATTATTGATACAAATTTAATAATATACTAAATAATAACAATAACGAGATGTATAATAAAATTATATGATGCAAAACTAGCATAATATTAATTTAAATAACAATAATAGTAATGATAATTTCTAACAGCGGAGATCTAATACTGATTTCTAATACATCATAGTGCAAGGTTTAAATTGTATAACTTGTATTAAAATTTGAGAATAAAATAATGCCCAAAACTTACGAAATGAAACAGTATTACAGCAAATATTGAACAGCTTTTTCATCGTTTTACACGCATAAGATGTTTAATTTTTAAGTATATACATATTTATTTTATAAAATTGTTTAAATGATTTTTCAGTACTAGGAATTATATTAAAAATATAAATAAATGTACTACCGAAATACGTTTCAAACACTTTATGTTATATTTATTGCATACAATTTAATCAACTACTAAATTGCTCTGCTTTTTCCAGATGGACAATGAACACTGCATGCTTCTCGCGCTTCCTTGTGGTCGAGATGAGGTAGACGTATTACAACAAAGTAAAAATCTTCAGACTGGATTTATAATGTATTTGCAACAGAAACAGGCCGCTGGAATTGTTAACATCGCTGCACCAGGATCACAACAGGTATGTAAAAATGTAAAGACATAAATTTATCATTTATTCCCTGTGACTTTTATCCAATTACTTAAGTCAACAATTACCATTACTGATCGTATTATCCAACTAAATATTGAAAAAAAAAAATGAAGACAAAAATAAAAGTACGATTAATTTTATTTGCAGCCTGCGTACGTAGTTCACATTTTCCCATCGTGCGACTTCGCAAACGAGAGTTTGGCGCGAATCGCACCGGACTTGTTACACCGCGTCGCAAAGATCGCCCATTTACTCATCGTCATTGCCACGGTTTGAGACCAACCAGTGGTCTATTGGATTACAATCTACCTATACTTCTCGCCTTCACGCACTTGTAGGACGCTTCACATGTGGCATGAAGCCTGGAGTGTCCCTCTGACGAAGTGCAGTATCGTACAACAAACGATAAGAGTATTCCCGAGGGAAGAAATGGTTTTTCCTTTGGAATTATATCAGTGACAATCAAACGGATTCTTCGGCAAATCGTGCCGATTTTCTATATCGTAGGCCTAAAACAGAAGCACGGGGTTGTGTAGCGTAGAGAGGCTAGCACGGTCAATGCGCAAACATCACCGAGCGTGCCTTTCTTCCCCGGTTCACTTCGCGATGGCGAGTTTTCATTTCTGATGGAATGGCTCGTGGTATGCTCGTTACTGACGACGTTTGTGAGATCGACCGACGTCACTCTTGGTCTTTCTGACAAGCGAATCAGGCACAACCCCAGTCCTTCGTGAAGTCCTTCGATTGATAAAACCCACGCGATGTCCTCTCTCTGAGAAAAAGATTTAAAAAATGAAAGAAAGAAAGAAAATAAGGAACAGAAAACTCACACTGATCCCTCCTCTAGGAAAACAGTAAAATATACCGTTGCTCTAGATGGACAGTCGATTTCGTAAGTAAGAGAATAGAGGAAGAAAATAAAGAAAAAAAACTAACGTACCCTACCACTATAATACACGAGCTATTTTAAGTAAGGCTTAGATATTAATGATACTGTATAAATTATAAGCGAGCCAGCGAGGGCATAACTACTGTGATTTTAATTATTTAACGATATATATCTGCGTAAAGACGAAGAAAACAAAAAGTAAAAACATTATAAAACGGTGACCGAGTCTGGTCCGCGCGGTATGTGATGTGTTTTTTGTATAATACTGCTCTATATAAATACCTATGTATCATATTACTTGTAACAATAGTTGCTGCTGCCGCTGTTGCTGCTGCCGCTCGTGTCGAACTAGAAAGTAATGTTACGATCTAGACCTCTAGTGAAAAAAAGAGCGAAAGGACTACCTAAAATAGTGTTTATCCCTAGTGTAATATAATTTCCCATAGCAGGATGTAACATATTATTATCATTATTATCATCTTAGCACTATGTACATTATAAAAAATTTTTAACATTCTTATTTTGATTCTTTATTATTATTATTATTATAATTATTAATTTTATTATTATCATCATCATCCATCATCATCATTATTATTATTGCTGTCATCATCACCATTAGTTTGGCTATCATCATCATCATCATCATCATCATTATTGTTATTATCATTATTATTATTACTATTATTATTGTCATTACGTTATTATTAATTATTATTAATTAATTACTACTACCGCTACTATTACTATTACTACTATACTATTATCACCACTACTACTACTATTATTATTACCACTACTCTACTACTACTATTATCGCTGCTATCAATTATTATTAACGTTATTACATCAGTCTAGTTAGAAGGTACCAATCCGCACATTAAAAGGGAAAGGGGCTTAAAAGTATGTCATACTGGAAGAACAGAATACAGTATGATCGATCTCATTGACCATTGACGTCGCCCCGTTCCGTACACTTCCATCCCCATTTCTCTTATCCTTTGTCGCCTTCTGTGCGATGTGTCATAGACTCTTTAGCAAACGTGTCGAGGATAATAATGCGCTTACGTGTATAGACCAGAAGTTATACTATATCACACGGAGCCGTGGAAGAAAAAAAAAACATTATTAATATAAAGAAACTTACCTATTTACGATATTATTGCTGCTGCGCATAGGGCGCATGCATGTAGAGAATAACCTTCTGTAAAAGTATTAGGGATGGTCAAAACATATGTTATTCCTTGTTACCGTGTTCAATCGATTCGAAAGATCGATTATTTTAAATCGATTAAAAGAATATTCTTATGTACAATTTTTCGTTTCTTCTTGTGTTTTCTCTTTTTTTCTTGTTTTTCCGTTTTGAATGTGTGCGCAATTAGGGATCAGGAATTGAACAATTTAACGTTTTCAGTTGTTCTTCTTTCTTTGTTTCTACTGAAGTTTAAAACAAGTATAACGCATGAAAGTACATGGAGAATAAGCAAATATTCGAACGATATTTAATAGATGTAATGCGAATGATACACAGTGTATACGCATTGTCTAAACCGTACACGATGTTCTGGCAATCCCTAAGAAAAACGCGATTAATTTAAGGCAGCGCGGATACTCGTGGAGCGTGTGCATGTACAGTGTAAAAGATGCGTTGTGCATATGTACAGTGTAGAGGTATAAGTGAGCGAGCGAGACGATAAGTTTAAAGAAAACATATATATTACAGCTGCGGTTAAATACACATAATAGGACGCGAACAAGGCACTTACGTCGCGATATTTTGTTTGTTTCTATGACAACACTACTTATCCGGCCCTCAGCCTCTCTCTTTCTCTCTCTCTTTCTCTCTCTTTCTCTCTCTCTCTCTCTCTCTTTCTCTCTCTCTCTCTCTCTCTCTTTTTCTCTTTCCCGCGACGTCTGTGTCCGGCTGCATTGCGTCTTATCTATCTTGTAAAATATCTGTGAATATTATGATTTAGTTTCTTCCTATTATAGGCTACTGGTATACAAAAAAATTTATGTTACTACTTACTTAAGAGAAAGAAATGTACAGATATCACCATTTTTGTTTTGTGTTTTACTGTAGTTATTGATAATTATATGGATATTAACGATAATAATAACTATGATTAAAAAACTTCAGCACGGCTCGACGCGTCATTTTTGAAACCCGTTAAAAATATGTAATATTTAATTTATACGCGAGATTTTTGATGGAAAAAATTTAGTGCTTACACAATTCATTGATTAGAATGAAAAAGAAGAGAAACACATTAAAGCGGTTTACCATTATAAATTCGTCATTTAGAAGTTTAGAAGCTGGACTTCAATGTCGATCGAGACATAAAAAATAATATATCATATGAAAATACTACAATACGTAATTTATTTACATTTTGTGTGACACGTTATTATTATACTCTCAACTTGTTTGTATAGTCTTCGCACATTTATCACTCATCGAATAACTTTTTTAACTATTTGTTATAAAAATGAGATGTTTTTTTTTCTTTAATAAAACCAACTGAACTTAACATGTTATGTGCATACATGTGAGGGTCAACAAAAATTAAGAGATATTCGTTTCTCAGGATGTTGAAAATACAAAAACTTATACGTTATTAAAAATACGTATGATAATTACGAAAATAGGCGTTTTCATAGTATTTTACGCCCTCTTTGTAACGTCCACAGTATTAAAATGCATTTCTATCATACATTGATACTTTGTAATTGGTTATAAAAGTGTCTGGTATTATTCATAAATAAAACATAAATTTTAAATCAACGATATACTTGACTTAAAACATACGTTAAATGTCCCGAAAAACCTATTTTTAATAATATATTTTTAAAATTCTCAAATGGTGTTAAAAATTTATCGATGGTAGGTAATGTATACATTACCTCGGAAGTGAAAAAAATAAAGTGTAGCTAGCAAAAATTATTTAAAAATGGGAATCAAAATTTATGTTGAAGCAATATCGATTATAGAATAAAATTTTGTACAAATCTTGTGTTATAAAGATAAAAATGTATTTTGATTCATTAAATGTAGAATAGACAAAATACATTTAGAATATAGATCAATTTATCTCAGTCATAGTCAAACGTTTAGTTTTACAATTTTAATTGAAAAGCATTATGCTAGAATATAAATAATTTAAGTTAAGTTTAAATGGTAGATAGAATACATCTAATATACTTCCATTTGCCCTTTCATTTCTTATTTTTTGCTATACATTCTTATTCTTTACTCCTATTTACATACAAAGCATTTCAAAACCAAGTACAAATTTTACAGACTACTCAAACTCATTGAAAGAAACAAAAAGCTATTAGTGAACATATAACCATATTATAATTATAAATTGATATTTCTAATTAAATACTTGATTTATTGCTATCAGAAATATCACTTGCCATTAAATGTTATCATTCTTACTATATATACATGTATATATGAAATAATAAGGGAAATAATATTCTTACATTTTACAAATACAGAACATTTTTTTAAGTAAGGTACTGTTTTTGTCAAATACATAAAAGAAAATATCTACATATATTTTATGTTAGACAGGTTGTCTCATTTTAATCTGTCCACCCAATTATCTCCTAAACTATGACACATTATTCAAAAAAATGTTTCAAACAAAACTTGTTCTGATTCGAGGGGGATATTATGTGGAGGTGTTTCCGAGATTTCATGACCTTTGTTTTTTTAAATGGAACTATATATTTTTTTAGAAGTCACTCAAATTTCCTACTACACATTGAAATAAGAAAAAAATTAAAAAGATAATAAAAATTCTGAAGTTTCAATACTTAGAATCACAGACGAGGTACGGGATACACCTAACACCTAAAATATTTTTGTTTTTACAAATGGTTACAATATATCACTATTGTTTTTCAGCATTTTACAGTCTATTTATTTCTCCCTCACACACCACATCCACTTGATCTGGCAAAAAACCGATTGTTTAAACAATATTCCAATGCAAAATTATATAAACTAAGTCCGAAAACCGTTAAGAAATTTTTCATTCTTTTTATATTACTTATAGTTAGTAGATAGTAAAGTTTAATTGTGGAATAATTAGTGTTTCTTGTTAAATAACAATTTAGATGGTAATTTATAATTATTGGAAGTATTAATTAATTTCGTTGCATGATTTAACTTAATAAAAGAGCTTAATTTAATAATTTTGCATCGAATTAACAATTGCATACAGTATATTGGTTAAAAATTGTTTATACCTTTTGTTTAATATTTAAAAAATAATGTTCTTTTTGTGCGAATTGCAAATGGAACTTTCAGGCCACCACAGGAATGAAGGAGAAGACTTCAACATCATGAAAACTGGAGAAATGCAATTATTTATCAATAAATCAATTTTTTATTGTAAAATAAGTGTACAAAATGTATTTTACAATATGGTTACAATATGTCAGTCTTGTTTTATAGCGTTTTACAGTCTATTCATTTCTCCCTTAGACACCAAATCTATTTCCTTTTGCGGAACATTCATTCTTCAACTAATATTCCATTAAAAAATTAAATATACTAAATTCGGATAGCGTTAGGAACGCGTGAAAATCGAAAAGATCGCAAAAATCTCAAAATCAGAGCGAAAACCTTCAAAAATTGCGCGAAAATAATGTCGAGAATGCAGAGAGGTGGTAGACTTACACTACTTGCTCCCATTCTATATGTATATGAAGGGTCCAGCAAGATAAGATGGCTAAAAGTCCCTTTGAACCAATTAGGTCGTGCGATATTCCATTCGATAACTTACCCAAAGAAAACATTTGATACCAACTTTCAACTCTAGCTCGATCTGGAGGATAGTTATAGGATGAATTATGTTTATCAGTTTTTGGACTATTTTCCCTATTTAGTGATACGTCAAAGTTTCGAAAAAAATCTGGCATATTGCGTATATAAAGGCACATGTTAAGGAATTTTTTCCAATTTTTTCGTTGCAAATCCTAGTTGTAAAAAATAAAAACGCAAAGAATAGGTGGATATCTTTTAAAATATTAAAGCGACTACTTTTATATCTATTTAATGGCAGCATCTTAACATAACTATTATCCTCAAATTTTTTCAAATTTTTGGCAAAGTGCGTCGTAGTTAAAAAAATTGAAAACCAATTTGATCTATGTATTTTGCAAACAAAAGTACCTTATTTATAATTTCATAGTTACGTTTAGTTCCAATTCCAACCACTATTAATATTGTAATCTTATTATATCCTGAATCGGTAACGTTGGAAACGACACAAAAATGACGTAGATAAAAAGATGCATTAGGTGTAGGTCTACCCAGTGCCTCGTCTATGATGTAATGTTTCGAACGTTGATGAATGAAAATTAAAAAAATGTAAACCCTTTTATTTGATAATATTTTAATTTTCAAATATGAAAATATTAAAAATAAGTATATAATTGAAGAAGATAGCGTGTGACAATAATTAAAAATAATAAATGGTGTGTGTATGCGCACGCACATGTATGTGTATATCATTTCAAATTTGCTTTGTTAAAAGTATCAAAACCGTAATTAAAATTTGGTAAAACTTCTTGTATTAAAAATAGAAAATATTCAAAAAGGATTTGTTTTTCTTTATTTATAAATTATTTTATACAGTTGGTAAAATTCAATTATTCACTTAATATGTTAATTAAATGAATTTAATATAAATATATATTCGTCATCTCTCCAATCGTACTGTTTTTATACACGGTCTTCCATATCTACGATTAGCTTCTTCAAGGAAAGCATTTTCCATTTGCCTTACAATTTCATTAAAAAATAAATTCGACAAATGTGAATGAATAATCGATTTGAATTGAAATGATAAACAAAAATCAATAACGCAGGTTTGTGCATTGTTCTTCAGTCCTGGACTGAAAAGCCATAACGTGTTTAAATGATCAAATAATCTACCATCCGTGCATTCGGCTTTTACCATACGCGGTCGCACCTTCGTTACTTTTGATGTATAGCTTTCGTTTATAGGTGGAAACCCTATTACCAAATTGGCTTGAAGTATATCGCCACTTTTAAATATAACATCAGATTTTTTACAAAATGGCACAAAATCTTTATAATTTTTTACATCTGCTACAACATCGAATATTTGTTCCATTGAAAATCTGTGCATAGAAAGAGCTTTTCGTAATGTTTATTCACCCTTATAAGGAATTACTCAGTTATTAAATATAACGAAACTCACCCTACTAATTTACGACCTTCATATTCTTTCATTTTTGTGCTTTCTCTCATATACATTCTTTCAATGCATTGTTTATGAACAGTATACTTATTTTGAAGTATTGCACTTTCAAGAAATAAAATATGAACATTTCTGAAAATAGGTTTTTTTTTAATTTAAAAACACAATTATAAAAATTGCCGAAGCTATTAAAATTAAAATCATGTATTCATTGATTCCAATGCTAATGGAAAATAAATACATATATACTTATCGTGGAAAGGAACCCTTATGTTTTATTGATTCTTCAAACTGTTGATACTATTCTTATAGTTACGATAATGCGTTTTAATATTAATGATAAAATTTCAAAATCATAAGAATACATGGAATAAGAACGATTCTTGTTTAAATTTGTAAAAATATAGTATTTATCGCAATAATTATAAAATGTAGAAGATACGTATATCAGTTAGGTTATGCATGTATTTTGTTTGTTTTTAATGCTATTCATTCCTCTAATATTGTAGCTTATATAATATTTGTACAATACACTATATAATTTATTTCTTCAAATATATAGAAATAAAGTAATTTAATTTACTAAGAAAATAATATATTGTAAACGTATGAAACATAACCTGTACGTATAAATTGTCTACAACTAATATTAATAGGAAAATGAAAAGATCTATAAAAGTATAAATTACCTGTACATGATAATACAATTTGCTAATCCCACTACCTTATAATACAATAAAATGTACATATGTATATGTTGTGCTTTCACGTGTATATTCCTGAACTTATCGTGATTATCATTAATATTTACAAATACACTTCATTGTTTTTCGTTTAATTTTTTCTATTACGCTTAGTAAAGGTCTACTTTATACTACTCATATTTAAGAGTATGAACAAACTTTTTTAATTATTCAAAAAATGAATGTATGAGAAAACTGGCAAATACTGCGTATCTACAAGTACGTTTAAAAATAATAGGATATTTTTATAATTGAACGTCAAACAGTAACATATAATCTGTAACTGCAATATATTTATTCAGCATAATAAAATTAAGACGAATTACAATTATATACCATTTATACTATTGATAATTATTTTTATCGTACGATACAAATTTTATTTAAAAAATAAATATTACAAAATTGTAAATAATTGCTTTAAATGGCTTATGTCAATTGACATTGACATAAAATTTGACAGTGATTTCACATATATTTTTGGCTAACAATAAGTAAAGCTTGGCAGTTAGGTTGGTACACTCTCACGTGCAAAACTTACATAACACAGGTACCACAAACGTCTTGATTTCAATACATTTTAAAAAAATGGCTGGCATTGCACCGCAAGCTTGCAGAAATGCCTTTCGACAAGTAAGTACTAATAAAAAACTGTAATTTTACAATCAAATAATTTTTTTTTTTTAAGTACATATTATTTCCATTATTGCAAAGTATTGTGCAAAATTTCGGCAACAAAACCATACTTCGATTTACTCGATCACTAATGTCAATTCAATTGTTTTTTTTTTCAACTATATCTTTTGACATTTTCATTTAAACATTAGACAGCATTCTAACAATTAATTAAATTAATAATTAATCAAACAATATTACTTAATATTTTTACTTAGAATCCTACTTTATAGTTTAATGCATTTAACAATGTAAGTGTAATTAATGAAACAATTGTAATTATATAATTGTAACTTCTTACTTTATTAAAGAATACATTTCTCAAGACCAAAATATTTAGTTTAACTTTGCTAGTATATAATCCATTGCATGAGGTTAAATACATAAATATACTTGTATAATTATAATGTTTTAATTTATCTATGTTTTTATTTTTTTAAACTTTATTGATTTAGGTTCGAGGAATCCACATCTCTGCAAGTCAAAATGCTGAAGCCAGATTAAAAACTTTTGCTGTGTATCGTTGGAATCCAGATAAGCCTGATGAAAAGCCATCTATGCAAGAATATAAAGTGGATCTAAATACGTAAGTTTATTAAAATAATTTAAAAACTCTATTTTGTTTTTAATTTACTTCATGTGGGAAATGTTATAGTTGTGGTCCTATGGTTTTGGATGCATTAATAAAAATCAAAAATGAAATAGATCCAACATTAACTTTTCGTCGATCTTGCCGTGAAGGCATTTGTGGTTCTTGTGCTATGAATATTGGTGGCACAAATACATTAGCATGTATAAGGTATTTTGTAATTATTTTTATTAAATATTTTACACCCATAGAGAAAAATCAGGTTTACAATATAAATAATAACTGGAATTATTGCAGCAAAATTGATACTAACTTAAGCACAACTAGTAAGATTTACCCTCTACCACATATGTATATAGTGAAAGACTTAGTCCCAGATTTGAATAACTTTTATAATCAATATAAAAGTATACAACCCTGGTTGCAACGTGGGGATGGCAAGGAAGCTGGTACACAGCAATATTTGCAAAGTGTTGAAGACCGTAAAAAATTGGTGATTAGATGTTAAAAATTATTAATTAAATGTTTATTTTTTTATTTTATTGGATGAAATAATGTATAATCTTTTACAATATAGGATGGTCTCTATGAATGCATCTTATGTGCTTGCTGCAGTACCTCTTGCCCATCATATTGGTGGAATGGTGATAAGTACTTAGGACCTGCTGTACTTATGCAGGCTTACAGATGGATCATTGATTCGCGTGATAATAAAGCAACAGAACGTCTTGAAAAATTGCGGGATCCATATTCAGTATATCGTTGTCACACTATTATGAATTGTACTCGTACATGTCCAAAGGTGAGCTTCTACATAATATAGCACTGGTGACTTCAATTTAAAACTAATGTCTTTTTTTAAATAGGGCTTGAATCCTGGTAGAGCAATTGCAGAAATAAAGAAATTGTTAGCTAATATCAGTCAGAAAGAAAAACCAGGCCTTGATGTTGCTGCATAATGAAATAGAAAATGCAGAAGAGGAAATTAGTTAGTCACGTGTACTTCTTATTTACTATGATTAAATATAATCTTACGTTTGATTAAATGATAATGTATAAACAATTTATTTAAATTATTTGGTAAAGCAGTGCAAGCTGAAGCCAAGGTTTTGTAATAAATATATTTCAATTATTTTAAATATTCTTGACTGCAAATAAAATTCAACTCCCTTCTGACATAAACATTTATATAATAACAACTATTTACTTTATATACATTAATGTATGGAGGTAAAACATAACATTTTAAAACTCATTTAATGAATGCAATGAAATATATTCAGTATTTTATGTTACATATTTTATATTTCTGTGATAACGCATTATTGCTAATAAGAATTTGTTGAAACATTTATTAATTTTTTAATGAGCAAGACGTTATTTGGATATGTATTTTACTTTTTTTTAATACTAAAACCAGATACGTTAATCTTGCGGGTACTTACTGAATCCAAGTAATTTTTTGTATCATCAAAAATATACACACATTAATACTAGAAACTTGTAAGTTATAATCAATAATAAACTTTCAGTAAATCATGCAATTGTACGATATGTTAGAGAATAAGAATATTTCAACATTTTTCAATTCAATGTTTTCACAAGGAATGCATGATATGCATAATTGAAAACTATCTACAAATTATTTAAAATTTGTCAAGATTACATATACATTACAATGAAATTTAAGGTTCTGCAGCCATTCTGCTTCTTGCTGTTTCCCTTGATCGATGATGCACTTCTGCCGTTCTTAGGGTAATGCCAAATATATCTTCGTGATAACGATTTTCATCCTGAAAAACAAATTTCATAAATAATTTAAGTTTATTATTTAATCAAAGAGTTGCGACATAACTTACGCGTAATGATAACATGTACGCTTCAACTTGTTTATCTGTCATTTCACCGTGAGTCTGAATAATGTGCTTCAAGGTTTGGTAAACATCCTCTGCCATTGTGCAATCCCCACAAACATAAAAGTGACCACCTTCATACACTAACATATCGTAAATTTGTGGAGCTTCTGCTTGTATCAAATCTTGTACGTATGTCTATTAAAAGTAATATAATACTTCAAGTACAACGAAATGAATTTGTAAATTAGTTAAAAATCATTTTAAATCGCAACCTTTTTCAGTCCAGGTTCTCGAGAAAGAGCCAAGAATACTTTATCTAGAACACCGGCTTTTACCATTTCTTCTTTCTCTTGTCTGTATAAATCTAAGGTCTTTTGACGGCAACCGAAGAACAACCAGACCTTTCCATATTCAAGATCTATAAATTGTATATCGTGCATTTATTTGATAAAATTATAACAATGGCAAATACAGTACCTGATCGATGCTTCATTTGTGCAAGGCGGTGGTGCCAAAAACCACGGAAGGGAGCAATTCCGGTTCCAGGACCAACCAGTATCATCGGTGCTTTTGTTTCGGTTGGCATGTAAAAGTTAGGCGCGCTAAATGCAAGAAAGAATGTATTATATTCTATATATGATAAATTAGTAAAAATTCCACCCAAAATTGCAGACTTACCTACGTACAAATACATACAGAGGTTCTCCATCCGATATCTCACGTAGGTAATTGGAACAAACTCCATAATGTATTGGCCCAGAACCACCTAATTTAATTTTTGCAAATAGTTTCATTTTCTAAAGTTTCATATCTTTGTAAATAGTTCAACCGCTATATATAAAATTAAATACCTTGTGTTTTATACTGTACAACAGCAACAGTAAGATGTATTTGTCCTTGGTGTACATCTGGGGAGGAAGAGATGCTGTAAAATCTTGGTTGCAACGGAGTTAAATGAAGAAGTAATAATGGCGCAAAAGGTTTCACGGATGGAAATTCATTTAATACTTCCAACAAATTAGGTAATTTCCAATGTCTCCAATCCTCATACGCTGCCGAATCCTATAAAAAATGGTTATACAAATTTTATTATATATTTTATCTACAAATTTCTTAAATTAGAAATTGCTTAAGTATTTACAGAAGCTAAAAGATTGAGTTGAGCTTGCTCTGTTGGGTTCGTAGCGATCGATGCAAAATATCTGAGAACGTTTGGTGTTGGTGGTGTTGTGATATCCAAAAATCTTGTTAACAACATTCTCAAAGAATTAGGTAAATATCTATCATGTGTCATCCATGTTTTCACAATACCTATATAAACGTTGTAATGAATAAAAGTTCTTATAATCATCAAGCAATAATAATTTAATTTTTCTAATAATATTAATGCAAACCATTTGGAGTATGAGATTGCTTCTGCATTTGTAACTCAATTGGTACATCTGGATCAAAAGGAGCTTGAATTCGTTTCAAAGTTCCTTCTACTAATTCTGGTCTATTGCACGCAAAAACTCCCAAATGATCACCAGGTTTATATGGTATTTCCATACTTGCTATATCATCGAGTTCCAAAAGTAACGTAGTTCCACTATTAAAAAACAAGAATTTCATAAAAAAGTTAATATATAAAGAATTCATTAATTAAATACATATGCATAGTTACCTTGATAAATCGCCACTTAAATTTGTTTTTCGGAACATGTTACAAGTAGTGACGTTTCTGTTATGACATTTACTTAGTGCTGAAATATTATAAATAGAAAATAAAAATTTAGTGAAAATTTTAAACAATTATACTTAAATATACCTTTTCCAATTGGTTGAGGTTCTGCTTCTACGAAACGAACAGTTGCTGCAGAGAGGGCTTCAGACCCTAAAGACAAAACAACTGCGAGCAAAGTTTCGTCGTCATCTAAACAAAAAGTCTCGCAAGCAACCTACAACAAAAATTAGAAGAATTATTTAGAAAAAATTGTTTACA